AAAAAAGAGAAATACCCGGGGCTCTTTTCAGACACTCTTTAAGACGTGCAAAGCAACGCCGTTTATCCGTTCGCGAATTCCAGTCAAATTACTTCATGCGCTTCTTTCTTCAACAGTCTGGCCAATAAGATGCTCGCGAAAAGTCTCGAAGAAACATGCAAAGAGTCGAACATTAAGATTTTGATCGCTGATTCAATCTACACGGAAAAAAAATTTATTGAATTAATCAGAAATACGTATGTAGCGAGTAGACAGTTTAGTGAAAAATGAACGATCCATAATTTTAGTTAAGCTAATCAGACACATTTGATTGCATACATTCTGATTGCGATAACCACGTGGTTACGGTTACATTTGATCGCAAGGATTCTGGTAAAAAAAACCAAACTTTGAATTGTAACAGGAATCTTTTATCAATATATCTTTTTCATTGTGTATGAATTTTAGTCGTAACATGTGAATATTTAAAACTTCAGCAACCTAATCAGTTTTAAGTATTCACATGTTACGACTAAAATTCAGTTATCACACACAATGTTTTAATTAATTGTAGGTATTATAGATAATAACGGCCATAAAAATTTTCATCCTCGAAACAGTGATGGGATTATATTGGAATATCGGTGAAAAGTCTCGGAATGTTGCATCTTTAATTTCGTATTGTATGGTATCTTCCTTACGAGAAACAGAACATTGCCGCGTCCATCTGTCGGCGATGCGACGCACCTACTGCTCGCGGATAATAATCATGAAAATCAGAATTCTGTTTTATTCCACCAATACTCTTAACCAAATTTACTAGTCAGGCTAATCCAACTATGCTTTTTTTCTTTTGCAGTCTTAATAACCAGATACTTACAAGATGTATTATTACTACATGCACTAACCAAATTCGAAGCGGTATTATACTTTAAACGTTCTGATGATTACATACCAAAATATTTTATTGTATTTTAATTACCAGAAATTTTGTTTACTTCCATCAAAATTTGCTCACCCAACCACGTATTGTTAATTCAATCATGATTTTTTTCCGTGATAAAATATATGTGAAAAAAATCTATCTCTGAATAATTTTTATTACTTTCATCGATTATACAGCTATAGTAGCTTAGGAAGGAGTTACTGAAATTTAATAATAAAATTTTCACACAGCACGCGCGCGCGTATATATCTGTCCCGGCTAACCGGCACGAATTCCGGTCAGATAGCCGCGAGTCCCGGGAGGATTAAATAATTCCGAATTCAAGGGTCGCGCCGACCGAGCCGCGCGCTTTCGGGCCGCGTTAAATATCCCCGAAATTAATTAATAATTTAATTCGCGGTGACGCGGGGAATCGACACACGACCGGGGTTTCGATTTTCAAACGACGACGGCGGCGGCGGCGGCGGCGGCGGCCGCCGTCGCCGCGCCGTCGCCGCCGCCGAGCGCGACAGGCGTACTTTAATTAACTCGGTGGACGTTAATTTCGCTTAACTCGCGCCGGAACACGCCGGACTTCGTTTAAGGCACACAGCCGTCGCTATTGATACGCGCATATCCGCGGCCGCACTTCACAGCAGCACGGGGGGGGGGGAGGCTGCGCTGCGTGTGTGCGGCGCGCCTGCCTGGCTGCCTGCGGCCGCAAAACACGAAGGCGGTGCCCGCCGCGCCGCGCCGCGCCGCGTCGCGCATAGAACGGCGCATCAATTGTTGGAAATGCGGGACACTATCGCGACGAGGCATCGTGATTATTCCTTGACAGCCACTGTGCCGCCGCGCACGGCCCCCGTGTATGTTTCGCGTGAACGTACGTACGCGTATACATACGTCACGTCATCGCGTCTGCCTGCCTGCCTGCCTGCCTGACTGCCGAGCTTGGCTGGCTGGCCGAGGGAGAAAGGGCCCTTCGAAAGTGACGACAAGAAAATCGCGTATCTCTCTTTCCCCGAGATGTACACAAGATACACGAAGCTTTGCACGCATTTTACGCAAAATCTCACACGAATTTTGTCCCATGCATCGAAATTCCCTCCGTGGCGCGATCTTGTCCAATTAAATTAATTCGTTCAAATTCGCTTAATCCGGGCTCTCGTTCAAATATACATGTCTTTCTTAATCCGCGTTCGTTTATCTATGTATTTCTGAGGAAAAAATTAAAAAAAAAGTGTCTATTTTAACTACTTCAATATGAATCTCTCTGAATATTACGAGTTTATGCGAATTAGTCATTAGTGCTCTATTTTCGTGCTCCTCTTTTTTCTCGCGAAACGCAACTCGGAAAAAATTATTCCAAATTATTTACAACATGTTTAACAATAATACACCGTACGGGTTCGGCGCTATTGGTGGGACGATAAACAGTCCCCTGTGGTAAATGGGCTACCACGTTTTCTTCCCACGCGATGTTTCTTACCCAACACACGGCGCGATCAATAACGTGACTCGAGGTAGAGTGTATCGATTGCCGGAGTAACAATTATTGCTGGCCAATACTTTCACATGGCGCGCACAGTCGAAATTAGCACACCGAGGGCAAGCTCCACGCTCGCAGGTACATTATACTCCGCGGAATCTACATCTGAATGTGGATCTTTTCATAGAGACGAATAGATTAATACAGCAAGCGATTGAGCCAATGGAATATCTTATTACTCCCTCCCTATATGCGGACACATCCTATAAAATATGATAATACATTAAAAGCATTAAGCGATATTAATAATTATATTAAAATCCCGTTCTTCACGTGCATTTAATCCATTTTCTAGAAACTTCGTTCCCCATTCGCAAACTCCAGAAATGTATATATAAATCAAAGAGGGACACATAATATAGCTCGTGAACGCTATAGTCACTGCGTTATCTCTCATTGTTGGATATATTTTTCGTCGATTGTTTAAAATTGAATTATGAAATTTTTTATCGTCGATAATCGATAATCGAACAAAATAATAATGCTAAATGCATGAAGCCTTGATTCCGGCCGAAATAATTAAGATTCAATTGTGAATCCAGCGTCCTCGATATAAAGATACTAAAAGCAACAATTACCCAATAATTATTAAATATCCGCAAATTGCATATACAGCTGCATTATTAATCAAATGCGGTATTTACAAACAAACGGGATTTATAAAACTGAGTAATAATATGGAATATAATTAAAGCTAAAAAATAGTTCATATCAAAACAAAATAATGTAATATGTGGTGGACTAATGAACCGGTCGCCATAATATGCGCCCATACGCGCGCCCGTTAAAGGGAATTCGTACCTTGATAGAAAAGCAGAAGGCAAAAAAGCAGAAGCCAATCAGTTGATAACTTAAGTTGCACTTAGTAATCAAGTGTATAGCACTTGATAGGTAAGTGTAACTTCTGATTGACTTCTGCTGTTTTATTTTCTGCTTTTCTGTCAAGATATGAATTCTCCCTTAGGCCGGGAGTACATGAAATGCACACGGAATTTCCTTTTAAAATTTACCCTGAAAATTATATTAATCGTAGGACAATATAGTATTTCAACAAATTTTACTGTGCACTACAATAAATTTGTTGTAGTATATACTAAAAAATATAGTGAAATCACATAAAATTCGTCGAAATACTGTGTTATCCTATGATTAACATAATTTTCAGAGTAAAATCAAATTCTCTCCGTGCATAACAAAGCATAAGCACAGCATAAGGCGGTTCAATGAGAATCTTATGTGAATCAGTATGGCGACTTTATGTTGGATGTTCATTAGTCTAGCCGCCTTATGCTATGCTTACGCTTTCTTATGCATTTCATATGCTCCGGCCCTTAGTCCCTGCTAGACAATCGGCATAGTACGCCGCCTCGAGATGGCTAAGAAGATGAGGGTTTAAAAAAACCTCACAGCATAATATAAAGGAGGCAAAGAACCGCGTTCTTCTATGATATATCTCATATATCTCTCCTAACGCGAGAAGGGGCCTCACAATCAGACCATGGCGAAGCTCAACGAGAGCTCCTAGATAACGATTCGTATCTTGAATCTCTCACTGGTCCGGAGAGTCCGGAGGAGAAACCAGTTACCCAAGTAACCCACGTTTCTGTCGCGACTCAGACGGAGACGGTACTGCAAGTACCGCCATGGATTCCGGAGATTGATCCTCCGGACTCCGAAGTCCCGGCCTAGAACTCCCGGCCGAAAACGGCGAAAGCGCAATAAGGCCAGGAAACGGCTTGACCGCTGAGGTTTAAGACCTCAGCGCTAAATTCAGCCGTACTGAACGCGTAATAATATTTCTTTGCACTCAGGCGCCTCCTAACAGAAACACAAAGACAATAGCATAAGGAAGGGAGAATGAAAGGGATCGACCTCGTCGACCACGGAATTCGAATTCGGAATCCTTCGTTCTTCTTCTCAGAGCGCGTTCAGATTTCCATCCGAATGCTTCTCAGATATTATCAGATATATTGTTTAACATTTCGTGAACAATGTGGATAAAATAATATTGCATTGGTGGCACTTGTGCGAGTAGGAATCTGAACGCGCCCTCAGTAATTAGGTTAGGTTGCTGCCATGCCATGTGCTACCCCACGACGCCCCACTTCTCCCATAATATATTCTGATCACCTATCAATAATATCTAATCAGCCTCACGACCCTACCACTCCTGCAATATAGTATAAACACATTGCCGAATAAATAACATACAACCATTGTAATAACTCAATAATCTTTAATAAATTTATTAAATATATCATATTTAATAAATATATTAAATTTATTAAATATATATCATATTTAATAAATATATTAAATTTATTAAATATATATAATATTTAATAAATTTTACCTTTATAAATTTAATAATATACAACCCATAATATTAACTCTATTGGGATCCTTATTTATTAATGTTAATTCTTTATGAGATCCCTTTTTCGAAGCCAATATTAAATCCTAACAACCTAATCTTCCCATAATAATAATAATACATAAATCTTTTGATATGGAATAAATATAGATGTTTTGTTCCGCCCGCAGGAGACCAAGAGGCCGTCGAAGGAGATGCAGGTGACAATCGCGAGGCAATTGGGCCTGGAACCGACGACGGTCGGGAACTTCTTCATGAACGCCCGACGCCGCTCCATGGACAAGTGGAAGGACGAGGACCCGAAGACGGTCGCGGTCGAAGAGGAACAGTTGTCGCCCACGATAGGAATCGGCCAGCGCCAACCGAGCGACGTTTTGTGACACACGTCCGACCACGAGGAGTACCACGACGAATCGCCCGACGAGGACCTGCCCTTCTCGTAAGGGCAGCGTAATCACCTCGCGGACGTAATCCTGCCTCGACACGCCGACAGGCCGATCTTCTCGACGCGCCTCCGCGAATTTTAGGCTGATCCTCACAAACGCATCTCCATAATTCGGAATATTCGCTGATAACTGGCTATTCACAGCCAGCCAAATAATATCCAGAATCACTTTATTTATTCGATGCTTAATTCACGAGACTTCATTAAGCTTCTCGACGTTTGGCTATCGATAAATAATCAACTTGCAAGAAAACAAAATTTAAGCTCGAAGAATTTTAAATATTCATATACATCCTTCGCAAACACTCGAAAGAGAGAGAATTATTGTGAAATTGAGGATACATCACACGAATTATTATCGTTTTATTGTGAGCGCGCGTCGACGATCGTCCCGTAAAGATCGAAGCTGTGTCGAGCAGGAGAGCGTCCTAGCCGCTGAATGCGATCGATCATTACGACTCCCGCAAAGCGATCCGCCGTAGTTACGATCTTACGTTTCTTTTCTTCTTAGACTAGTGCGTTGCCGAGTATTTTTCACGATCGACAGATCGTTTCACGCGTTGAAGCTCTTAAATCGAATGTCCGAAGCCGAGAGAAACGGGACGGAATCAATAGATCCAAGTGGATACACACACAAGCCGAAGGATGTCGATTATAACATGCAACGATTTTCTACTTAATTTCTCTTTCACACCGAGAGTTAACCGTACATATATATATATATATATATATATATATATATATATTTATTTATTAGTTCTCTCACACGCAATTTGTCTCACGCGGTAAACGCGCGGGAGAGGGGCTGCCCCTCCCCCGCGACGAGCCGTTCGGTAGTTTTAAGATCGCGTACTTTGCGTGACGACTCTCGTCGCGTTATCTCGACTTCGGGCAGCCCACCTCGCAAACTTCGTGCCATAGTTTGCCATATTAGTTTTAATCCGTCGAACTCGCGCGCGCCTTGGCGGCGCGTCCGATTCTTAATAGCATTCTAGTCCACTTTAATGAGTTCCAAGAGGAACCCGTCTCTACCACCCCGCGCTCAGGCTGATGACCGGGGAGCGGTTCCTCTCGTCTAGTCAAAATTCAGAAGCTCCGAATTCTGAATCCGCCCTCGGCGCCGCGAGACGCGCCGCGCCGGGAGGATCGAAAGCGCTCCCGCGCGTTCTTCTTTTGTTTTTTCACCTTCCCTTCGCGCGAGTCGTGCGCGGCTGAAGTTTATTTGCTGTCCCGCTCCCCCCGCGGAACGGAAAGGGTGTTTTTAGTCTATAGTCCCTACGTTATTTTCTTTTCTTTTCTCTCTCCTTTTAAGAGTCGAAAGCCAGTCGCTGCTTTAATCGGGGTATCGCGAGGAACGGACGTTGAACGTAACCGCGGCGAAACTCTGCAGGGCGCTCTGACAATCGCGGGCGAGTAAATACTCTATAGAAGAGCTCGTTTTTTCCACTTTTTCTTATTCCTCGAGGCTAAGCCCATACACCCCCTTGCCGCGCGACGCGGCGCGGCGTGAAAGTTCGAAGGGTCTGCCGATGCCCGATCGAGATACGTCACGAGTTAAAGCGGCGATTTGGCACACACCGTGATTGAATCCTATACACTTGCGTGCGTTGACGCTTTCGTTTGAGATTAAGTGCGTTTTGTTTCGTTCACACTAATTCCTATAAACGTCCGGCGGTTTCCGATACTAACATCAGGAGGGGAGGGATGTACTTGAAGTCGCGCGCTTCCTCTCGCGGACTGCTCGACGCGCTCTCGAGAGCTCGCCTCTTCCTCGGCGGTCTTCGAATTGAAAAATCTCCGATCGAGCGTATTATTGATAATTCAGTTTGAAACTGTGTGAAATCGTCATTTCTAACCCAGTCGACTTAAGACAGGTGGACCGAGTGTCAGCGAGAGGAAGGACGCGATTTTTTTTTAACGCACTCCGCTCACACGTTCGCTAAAAGCGAATCGAAACCTCCTTGAAGGGAATCCGACGGCGTTTTCTCCACGAGTAATGTACGGCTTGGCGGTGAGGTCCGATGATGATCGGCGCAATCAGCGGCGCGCTAAAACGCGCGACCGGGCTCGTCGTGTCCCTCGTTGGTCAGACGAAACGTGAACCAATTTTCAAAGTGGCTTCGTGTGAGGGTACACGTGCCAAGTGATATATATATGTATGTATAAACATGTATATCAGAGAGTGGACACTCTTTTGTGCGAACCGATGGCAAGAGGGAGGTTTAGTAGAGAAAGAGAAGAGAACGGAGGGAAAGAGAGAGAGAAATTTTTAAAATGGATGGCTGCACCACTGTGTATGAGAGAGAGAACGAGAGAAGAGAGACAGAGAGAATGAGTGAGAGCTTGTGAGAAAGAGAAAGAGAGAGAAAACAGAGAGTGAGAGAGAGAGAGAGAGAAAGAGAGAGAGTGAGAGACTTTAGCGAGCCGCACTCGATATCGTACTGCAATTGTGCTGTGCTATTGTACATACTTAAAAAAAAGGGAAGAAAAATAACACACACGTACGTATACAGATAGTACATACACACGCGTACACACTTTTATTACGTAAGCGGCGGGCGTCGCGTTCGCTTAAGCTGGGCGAGAACGAATCGGTGTGACGTTTGATTGCAGAAAAGTGCATTCTAGCCGACTTGCACTTCGCGTCTGTGGCTCCTGCGTAGCGAAAATTCTTTTGTGCTTCGACACACAAACACGTATACACACATACACACATACAATACGTACGTCGACGCGACGTCGCGAGAATGTGGCGAGCGATCGGTTCTGCGAGAGATTTCGTTGAAACGACATTTTATATCATGCCCTTCTACTTTTTTTGTGCGATCGCAAGAGGATCCATTTATGCTAGTCGGAACTTAATTGTACAGAATGAATCGCGAGCGTGAACGCCGAGATTCAATCGGGAGGATTGACAAAAAACGATCCGGAGGAGTATCGAGAGTGCGGGCTGATTACGCGCGTAGGTATTTTATCGAATTGACGATTGAAACTTTTCTTCGCAAATTTTTCGGACGATTGGTGATTCACGGACGCTTTGAATCTGCGCAAAGACGTAAAAAAAATAATAATAATAATAACTCGTATACCATTAAAAGAAAAGATTGGAAGAAACATTTGGATTATTTCTCAACGGCGTGCGCGTTCAAGAAGAACGGACAAGTAAATAAAATGTAACGCGTTCGCGGCACGAGGCAAATCAATCGAAATCGTTTTGAAAAGCGACGAACTCTCGATACGCCACCGAATATCGCACGGTTTTCGAGGGAAGCACGAAAAATCGCACTCGTCATGCGAGCACGTAGGGGCGTGCGATCATTCGTCTCGCGAGCGGAACGTCTCAATTTTGCACGCGAACGCCCGTTCGAATTCGTTCGTTCGGCGATGTTACCTATGGCGATGTTACTTAATTTATTATATTTTAGGGTAGGGAGAGTGCGCACGCGGCGCGTTTTGAAAAGCAGCTTTCGAAAGTTACGGCAGTTTTGTCATCGAGAGAACGAGAGAGAGAGCGAGCGAGAGAGAGAGAGAGAGAGAGAGAGAAAGAAAGAGCGAGCAAGCGAGCGAACGAGCGAGAGCATGTAATTTATTGTGTAATATTTTGTAAAGTTATATCGAATTCCCTTAGTGTGCATGGCGACTCGAGGTATGTTACCGCTTTCGTGCAACAGCAGCAAACAACAGCAACAATCTCCTCTCTAAGGAAAAAATCCGAGTTACACACCGAATACACACACACACACGTTTCCCCGCCTCCCCCTCCCCCTTTAACGTTGCACGTTAATTGATTAGCATTTCGATACGCTACTCTGATTATTTATTATTAATTTATCACATACGAGACGTCTCAAATAAAAAAAAAACGGTCATTCAAAGCGAGCATCACTCAATTCTGAGACTTGTTTTGGGGAGGATTCGAGTGCTCCCGTGCTGGATTATGTGGAGTTTACCCAAATCGGCGAATCGGCAGTCGGCTCGAAAAAAAAACGCGGAATGGGATAAAGGCTCGCATCCGCCTCCCCGCCTCGAAGGAGCCCCCCTCAGGTGTTGTCCCTGATTCGGGGGCGAAGGGAGATGGGAGCGAGGTCCCTTCCGACACGAAGACAGAAAATCCACGGTACCAAGAGAGACGCGAGCGGCCTCCTCGGTCGTCGGTTTAAGATCATATATAGTACAAAGTAAACATATATATATATATAACATAGTATATATGTATGTATATATACATATATATACATATATATATTATTGTAATAACAGTGTTTAATTATACCTAAGATAATATATTTAAGAAGGAGTGTGCACGCGCGCGCGCGTCGCGTCGCGCCGTTTTTTTTTCAAGGAAGAACGTTCAAATAGGACTCCGTGTTAAATCGTGTGGAATGGAAAAAGAAAGAAAAAAAAACGCGGGATCAACGAGGGCATCGAGTTCTCTCTCGTGGGAGTTCCACCCTCGTCGAGAATCACGACTGGGGTCAGGCGCGACCATCGCGACAAGGTGCAAGAATTTCGACGGAATTTACATCGCGGTCGAGAGCGGACAGATGAGACACGCGTCTTTGGTATTCCTTCCACAGTTCTCAGCATCGTTCTGGCGATTTAGCGATTAACGAGGCAGTCGACGGGAAAGACTATAATTTAATCTTGCAATTCAGACACGCGAATGAATTGATGTCTCAACGTGTTTAAGTCATTCTTAGGAAACTTCTGCGAGAATTTTCATATTTATTCAATTACGATTTGGATAATTCCTGCAAAACATTTCGATTGCTCGTACTCAGAGGGAAAAAAAAGATAACGGTAAACAACTGTAAAGGTGACAACTATACAAGTATTATATGTAGAATTAAACTATTTTATAGTTTGCAACTATAAAATAATTTATCCAACTATGTACATTAATTCAACATATAAAATTTATGTAGCTATCACTTT